CCATTAATTTTTTTTTTTTTAATCCAAGAAAAAAAACTTATAACAATAATATTTTCAGAATCTGAATAAATATAAATCCATTGAAAAATTTGCAAAATTAAATAATGTAGATTTTTATCCAGCAGGACGTGGAATTGGGCATCAAATTCTTATAGAAGAAGGTTATGCGTTTCCATATACAATGACAGTGGCATCTGATTCGCATTCAAACATGTATGGTGGTGTCGGTTGTTTAGGAACACCGATAGTTAGAACAGATGCTGCATCAATTTGGGCTACTGGTAAAACGTGGTGGCAGATTCCACCGGTTGTCAAGGTGGAGCTCAAGGGTACCCTTCCTAACGGAGTAACAGGGAAAGATGTTATTATTACTTTGTGTGGCATGTTTAATAAAGACGAAGTGTTGAATAGTGTAATTGAATTCACTGGTGACGGGGTCGGTGGAATTTCACTGGAAGATAGATTGGCAATTGCAAATATGACAACTGAATGGGGTGCACTGGCAGGTGTATTTCCAGTTGATAAAATTACATTACAGTGGCTTAGGAATAGGGTTGATAAACTAGAATTTACTCGATTTGGAAATAAAAATTTACCACCTACGCCAACTGGACAAAAATTCATCCATCCTAGAATTAATCATAAAAGGATTGATGAGATCGAGCAGGATCCATTAACGTCATCGCCCGACGCTTACTACTCAAAACACTTATCATTGGATCTTTCAACACTTTCACCTCACATATCAGGACCTAATTCTGTTAAAATTTCCACACCGTTAACAGAAATTGAAAAGCAAGACGTAAAGATTCAGAAAGCATATCTTGTCTCGTGTGTAAATTCTAGAGCCGGTGATATACGTGCAGCTGCACAAGTCATTAAAGGAAAAAAGGTAGCTGATGGTGTCGAGTTTTATATTGCAGCAGCAAGTAGTGAAGTACAAAGTGAAGTTGAAGCTACCGGTGATTGGCAAACACTTTTAGAAGCAGGTGCTAAACCTTTACCTGCAGGATGTGGTCCTTGTATAGGTAACTATGTATATATATATG